ATTTGAATTCGGAAAACGGTTCTATATTTGTTTTCTATAGGTTAACAAATCTGCATACTCAGTTTAAAATGTTAAAAAATTAAATTTTTTTTGTCAAATTTTGACAATTTAAACGATGGAAAATGGGATATTTTTGAAAAAATTTTATTTCTACCGGAGATATTAACAATATTTTTATATGAAATTTTTCGACAAATCAAAATGTATACACAAATGTGTATATTCTATGAATAATTTGTCGTATTGGGTTCTTGAACCAGATTATTTTTGGTTATAGTCCTTGTATATCATGGAAAGGAATCACAGAAAATCACCACATATTGGCATTGAAAAAGCAAAACACATTTATTTAATTGTACTTTTTTATTATTTATTTAAAGAAAAAACGTAATCCTTTATCATTTTTTGTGGATGCTTGACATCTCTTTTCATCGTCACTCGTATTCTGCAAGGAGAAATGTTTTTAAAAAAATCATTATAAAAATATATATTTATATATATATGCATAACTGTATAATAAGTATGAATGTATGTATGTACGAGTACGAATAAACACTATAAATACACGGATTTGTTTAAATGCAAGTAGTTAAGCTTAATTAAGTACATAATATTGGTCAATATGCAAAAAAAAAAAATATATAAATGCTATAGCTGATTATTAATGATCGTATAAAAAAACTTGTATAATTATATATACTGTATAAAAAAATAGTAAAAAAATGGAATGCGAGTGTCGTTGGACAACAACCCGCACAAGGAAGCTCAGCGACTGAGATTCTTAGAAAAAAAGGATATACTATTACTACACAAAAAAAGTGTGATTAAAATCGTTCCAGTTTCGGGGCTTTCGTGGCTCCAAAATTACCCCCAAAAAAAGAGAGCTCGCGGAGATTTCAAATCTCCAGTAAAAAAAACACTTAGGGTTAGTGGGAAGCGAACTGCTGGCCAGGAATGCCTCAATGGGTGTATGTTAGTGTCCTTGCAAGTATATCCGTGTTTTTGTTGGGAATGATTGGGAATATGCTTGGGGACCGAGATGCTTGGATGGGTGTGGATGATGATGGCTGGTTTGGTGGATGGGTTGGCACAGCGGGCACTTCTCATGTGGGACCATAGAAGGACTGTGTTCCCCACTCTCTCGCAATCCAATTATCCTGGCGGCAGCTGTTGCTCCTTTTGCTCCTCCTTACGGGCTTACGGGCTAAGTTATCCTGGCTATGTACATCCTTGTGGCAGCATTGCGTTGCTTGAGATTAACGGGTTCCATGTACGGCTAGAAAGTTGCACTAGATCGAGGCATCTGCAGATCGTGATCCTGATCCTGATCCTGATCCTGATCATCACCTGCGCTGATTGAGCATCTGCAGGTAGTACTCGCAGTTGGTGCAGTACACCGCCGGCGCAATCACATGCCGCTTCCGGCACAGATTGCACTCGACGGCCTTGGCCGAGGCCTTCACAATGGCATTGTTGTAGACGCGGGTGGGTATGGCAGTGATGGATGCTGGCGCTGATCCTGGAGCTGGAGCAACACCATTAAGCGATGATGCTGCTGCTGCTGCTCCTGCTGCTGCCTCGGGCAGACCATTCTGCAGGGCTAGTTTGGTCTGAGGCGGGGCGGTGGCGGTGGCAGGCAGTCGGCTTCGCCCTTGGTCCCTGGCTCAAAGCTCACCTTCTTGGCGGCCGGTTTCCCTGCCAACAGTTGTTGCTGCTGTAGGAGTTGCTGCTGCTGCTGCTGCTGGTGCTGTTGGACATTGGGCAGTGGGAAATAGGGTCCGGTTGCTGGGCCGGCACCGGTAGCAGGTCCTGGAGCAAGTCCTGGACCGCCAGCTGCTGCCGGGTAGCCATGGGGCAGTGGCACACGCTGGTAGGGTGAGGGCAGGGGCACTTGCTCCGAGATTGCCACAGAGCCGTTGCTAAAGTAGCCCAGGCTCAGTTGGGGCGACTGCTGCTGTTGCTGCTGCTGCTGCTGCTGCTGCTGGAGTTGCTGGTGCTTCTGCAGCTGCACGGAGTAGCTCTGGGCCAGCATCTGGTTGTGGTGCAGGGGTCTGGGCATGCTGGTGTACTGGCTATCCATTGGCTGCTGCTGCTGTAGGTGCTGCACCTGCTGGCTGGCCAGGCCGTTCATGCTGGTGCGATGTTGCTGCTGCATCTGCTGTTGCTGCTGCATCTGATGTTGCTGCTGCTGCTGCTGCTGCTGTTGCTTCTGTTGCTGCTGCTGGCGAATCAACTCCTGGTGGTGCTGTATCCTCTGGACATAGCGCTGCATATCCGCATTGGGTGGAGCTGCAGCTGCTGGCCTGCCCAGCATGGGTGATGGTTGCTGCTGCAACTGTGGCTGCTGCAACTGCTGCTGCTGTCTGGGTTGTGCCTCTGTCTGCAGCCGAAGCATGTTCTGCTGCTGCTGCTGGATCATTTGGGCTGTGACGCCGCTCACTTTCTCGTTGGGATGCTGGGCGGTGCGTAGGACCCGCTCCAAGATGGGATTCGGTATGAAGTCATCGTCCTCCTCATTGCCGGCGGTGGCCACGAGGATCACCTGGTCGCAAAAGGACACACTCTTCTTCTTGACCCGCTTGGGTGGCTGATTCTGCTGGAGACTCTGCTGCACCATCGTGTTGAGCAGCTCCACTTCGCGGATCTCCTCTGCGATCTGCGACTGGCTCATCTCATACTTGGGCTTGGGCAACACCAACTGCTGCTGCTGCTGCTGTTGCTGCTGCTGTTGCTGGTGTTGCTGGTGGAGTCCTAGGATGGGCCTCGAGTCTACTTCATCCACATCCAGCTTGGCGCTGGGCAGGCCATTCATCTGCGTGCGCAGCTGGGCCGCCGGCTGTGAGAGCAACTCCTGGGAGGCATACGACCGGATCTGCGTCTGCTCGAATCGATGCGCCAGATCCCGGACACTGGACGGCGAGGAGGCCTCCAGTTTGCGCTGCATGGCCCTCAGATCGCTGGCCTGCTTCGCCTGCAGCTCCTTCAGCCAGGTGGCATCCGCGGGATGGCCACCGTTCGGCTGCTGCTGTTGCTGCTCCTTGCGCAGCTTGAGCAGATGCTGGCGCTGCTGCAGCTGGGCCAGGATGCTGGTGGTGCCCTCCAGGGAGTCCAACTGCTGACGCTGCTGCTTGCTGGCCGCCTCCAATGCCTGCAGCTGGCAAAGCTGCTGGTTGAGTGGCTCCAAATCCAGTTCTGGTGGCGGTGGCGGCGGGAAATCCTCGCTAGCCTGCCGCGAATGGCAGGCAGAGTGCGGCGGACTGGGATATGGGGGCAGTTCCATTGGCGGTGGCAGGGGCAGGTCCTGGCCCAGCATCTGCAGCTGATCCTTGAGGGGACTCTGCTCGGAATGGACCTGGGCACAGGTGGTGATGATCGTCTGGCAGGAATCCTCGCTAATGGAAGTGTTGGAGCTCATGGCGGACAGGTTGGAGAGGTTGGCCTCGTGGTGGAACTGCTGCTGCTGCTGCTGCTGCTGCTGCTGCTGCTGCTGCTGCTGGGGGGTCAGCGTGGAGCTGGTGCGCATGGGCGGCGGCGGAGCCACCTTGGGCACCATGGTCAGCTGACGGCCGCTTCCATGGAAGCTCTTGCGCATCAGCTTGCTGCGCTCCAGATTGGGATTCGGATTCGCACCGGCTCCCGCCTGGCCAGCAGCTCCTCCGCCATTACCTCCCGTGGGATAGTCAAAGTGTCCCTCGGAGATGTAGCCACTCATGGCGGCCGAATGGGCCAGGCCATGGCTGTGCTTGCCCAGACCCACGGCGCTGTCGTCCACGGAGCTGCCCAGGAGGAGCTGCGAGCCGGCGGTGGCCATGGCCGGATAATGCGGATGATGATGGGAATGTGCGTGGGGATGGTGCGTGGCCTCGGTGAGATCCGCCTCGGTGAGGTCCGGCATGGAGCGATTCTTGCGGCGTATGAGGCCACCCATTAGAAGCTTGCGCCGGATCTTGTGCTGCTTCTTGCCGCTCTTGTCCTTCTCCTTCTTCTCGTCCTTGTCCTCCTTGTGCTTCTTCAGCGTGTCCTTGGCATTGACCAGCAGTGTTTCGGTGAGCGAGAACTCACGGGTGAGCTTGTTGCGATCCTCGCTCCGGCTTCGCTTCTCCTTCTCCTTGTCCTTGTCCTTGTCCTTGTCCCGGCGTCCAAACAATGAGCGACTCTCGCGCTCTGGCTTGCCGGGTGTTCCCTGCTTCTCCTTGTCCTTCTCGCTGACCTTCTCCCGCTCCTGCTCGTACTCAATGGCATTGTCATCGCATGCGGAGGCGGCGGCCAGAGCCTTGAGCGGACTCTTCCGCTTGGGCAGCGTGGCATAGATCTCGATGCTGGCGGGGATTTGCTGCTGCAGCTGCTGGAATTGTTGCTGCTGCTGCTGCTGCTGCAGATGCTGCTGCTGCTGCTGCTGCTGTTGCTGCTGCTGCTGCTGCACCTGCTCCTTGTCCAGCGTGCGATCCTTGCTGTTCTGGCGCACATGCTTCACGCTACTGGTACTGCCCTCCCGCATATGCTTCAGCTCTGGCATGGCCTCCGTTTCGGCACCCTTCTCCACCAGGATGCGACGATGCAGGCTCCTGGCTCGCATCACGCACGTGTTGTGCTTCATTCGGGCAAAGGTCATGGTGTGCGGATTACTGTATGGTGCATCCATGGCAGCCCGTGCCCGTCCGGCGGCGGCATTGCAAAGAACCAAAGCGGTTTCCAGATCGTGAGACTCCTCCACCAGCCGCGACTTCTCCAGCAGCTGATCGGCCTCGTGACACAGCTTCTCGCAGTCCCCGGACAAGGCCAGTCCGTGTCCATTGTGTGCGGCAAGTCCTCCAAGGCCTGGATGTCCTGCATGTGCCGGCATACCCATGGCTGCCTCTGGTATCTTGGCCAGCTGAGGATCCCTTAGCGTATGCTTCGGTGGATACGAGTCCGTGGAGCTTAGCGAGAAGGAATCATAGCCTGGATCATAGGGCAATCCATGACGTGTTGGACTCTGCGGTACGGCAGCCACACCACCTCGCTTGGCCACCATATACAGGTAGGGATTATCCAGGGTCGTGGAGCTGGCGGAGCTGGCACTGTTCCTATCCCCGGACCAGTTGCCTGAATCCCTGCGCCGCGGCTGATTGAGATGCTCGGGCATGGTGAGGCCATCGCTGGGCGGTGAGCTGCCATTGGAGGAGGTGGTGGAGGAGGAACCATGGCTGCCATGGCCAGAACTCGACTCGGCACTGTGGCTACGCTGCAGCTGAAGATGCTGGCGACGTGCCAGCTGGGCACTGAGCACCGCCTCGATGGGTTTGCGACTGAGGAAGCCGCCATCCTTGTCCAGGGCTCCGGACTGTACTGCCTGTCCTGATCCTGATCCTGGTCCTTGTCCTCCTACTGCCATCTGTCCCTGTGTCCCGATCTTGTCCTGAATCACGCTCAGGTTCTGGTACTGCGCACTCAGGACATGCTCCACGGTTTTGCGACTGATGTAGGCATCCGTCTCATCGGATCCGGGGAAGATGTTCTTCTGAATGACACTCAGGTTCTGGTAATCATTAGTGGCCGGCGTTCGCAGTGGCGTTGGCGTGATGGCACGCCTCGTGTTGCCCAAACAGGGCTTCTCCGGACTGGGAGTCACCGCCCGACGCACCACAGAGGCACTGGTGGGAGCCACTGGTGTGGGTAATGTGGTGGCAGGCATTCCCTCCAGACCTCCTCCGGTGATCGATGACGACGAAGGCTGCTGGGGCACGGCATAGAGCAGGAGCAGCGGCTGATAGCGTCCTCGACTGCACTTGTCCACCACACCCTCCCAGCTGGGACCCACCTCCTTGACATTGGCATCGTCAAAGTACACCCACACCTTGAGCTTGGTGTGGAAGAAAAAGGTGGTGTAGTGCTTGCCGTAGTAGGATACAATCCCCACCAGCTCGTGCTGCGTCTGTTGTGCCCATCTCTGCTCGCTGACCTGATGGAAGACATCACCCAGACGGAGACTGGTGCCCACGGCCTTGAGCACGGCATGAACCTGATCCGCGGCAGGACGTTCCGAGTCCCAAACAATGCCAATGGATACCACATCGGGACGATTGAGCAGAGCCCGACAGATGCCAATTTTGGCTCCACATGTATTCTGTTTTGGGATATATAAGGGGAAACTCATTAGGATCTGCTGAAGAAGGAAGAGGTATATGTATCCACTTACCGGACAGTCACGTATATCGCCCATGTTGCCCGCCGCCCGCAGGAGTTGGCCAAAGCTCAGCTGCTGGTGGGACTGGAGGGCCAGGCTCTTCTGCGAAGTCAATGCCGAGGCGGAGACGTAGTGAACCATCTGTGGGGGGAAACAGAAGCAATTAGCCAAATGCCGATATGGTCAAGAGACGGAAGCGAAGCGCCCACGACTACTCCTCCTCCTCTCTGGCACGTGTTGACGTCAGTTTTTAGGCCTCCTTTTAAGGGTCTGTCTTAGCCATAACCCGTTTAAGCTAACTGTTCTTGGAGCTGGTAGATCTTTAGCTGGGGAGATCGTAGATCAAGTCAAGTGCAGCCTGCAGGTGCAGGTGTTCCAAGCCAAACTGGAACCCACGCCAGGCCACAAGCTCAACTCTGATTGGATCTGAAGTCGGGCTTCATAGGGGGCAGAAACGAGTTCTGCTACACTGGGAAAAACAACTGCAAACTATGCTCAACACACTGCATAAATAATTAAGCATAAATATATAAGAGAGCAGAGGGTGAGAGGGCAGAGAAAACAAGTAATTCCAGTATTTAAAACAAAAAACAACAATGGAAGCTAACTTCGAGAAGACTTTTCTGTATTGGATTTAACATTTAAAAAATTACAAATTTGACTTCGGACAATTGTTCTATGCCAGAATTTATTAGGTTAATAAATCTGCATACTCAGATTAAAATGAAAAAAATTATAATGAAACTCAAATGTTTGTCAATTTTTCACAATTTTTACGCAGCAACTATTACTCAGTAACTCTGAACAGCAAGTATCTATGACCAGTATGTAATTATGATCACTTATATCAATGAACATTAAGTAACTATGATCAGTAACTAACTAGGAGCAGTAAATAGCAATGATCACTAAGTATCTGTGACTAGTAAGTATGTATGATCAGTTACTAACTTTGAACACTGGTAAACAATGACTTGCAACTTTTGTAACACAACACATATCTGAGACTTGGCCAGCAGCAGGCACTTCGTTCCGGGGAGGTGAGAACCAGTTGGGAATCATAAGCTCAGATGTACGAGATTTGTTTTGGAACAAAGATCAAGCTATTTCAATGAAACTATGGAGTTATTCTTCTATATAATTTTACTAGTAAATAAATCGGATCATGGGGAATCGGTGGACTATATATACATATATATAGCTGCTATAGGAACGATAGGAACATTTTCAGAAAATAAATAACTATGATCAGCAATTAACTATGGGCAGTAAGTATCTATGACCAGTAAGTATCAATGAACATTAAGTAACTATGAGTAGTAAGTAACTCTGATCAGTAAATATATATGACTAGTAATTAACTATGATCACTAAGTATCTATGACTAGTAATATGTATGTATGATCAGTTTCAAACTTTGAACACTAGTAAACAATGACTTGCAACTTTTTTAACACAACACATATCTAAGACGTGGCCGGCAGCAGGCACTTCGTTCCGGGGCGGTGAGAACCAGTTGGGAATCATAAGCACAGATGTGCAAGATTTGTTTTGGAACAAAGATTAAGCTATTCGACTGAAACTATGGAATTACTCTTCTATATAATTTTACTAGTAAATAAATCGGACATGGGGAATCGGTGGACTATATATACATATATATAGCTGCTATAGGAACGATAGGAAAATTTTAAGAAAATAAATAACTATGATCAGCAATTAACTATGGGCAGTAAGTATCAATGAACATTAAGTAACTATGGGTAGTAAGTAACTCTGATCAGTAATTATCTATGACTAGTAAGTAACTATGATCAATAAGTATCTATGACTAGTAAGTATGTATGATCAGTTACTAACTTTGAACACTAGTAAACAATGACTTGCAACTTTTGTAACACAACACATATCTAAGACGTGGCCGGCAGCAGGCACTTCGTTCCGGGGCGGTGAGAACCAGTTGGGAATCATAAGCACAGATGTGCAAGATTTGTTTTGGAACAAAGATTAAGCTATTCGACTGAAACTATGGAATTACTCTTCTATATAATTTTACTAGTAAATAAATCGGACATGGGGAATCGGTGGACTATATATACATATATATAGCTGCTATAGGAACGATAGGAAAATTTTAAGAAAATAAATAACTATGATCAGCAATTAACTATGGGCAGTAAGTATCAATGAACATTAAGTAACTATGGGTAGTAAGTAACTCTGATCAGTAATTATCTATGACTAGTAAGTAACTATGATCAATAAGTATCTATGACTAGTAAGTATGTATGATCAGTTACTAACTTTGAACACTAGTAAACAATGACTTGCAACTTTTGTAACACAACACATATCTAAGACGTGGCCGGCAGCAGGCACTTCGTTCCGGGGAGGTGAGAACAAGTTGGGAATCATAAGCACAGATGTGCGAGATTTGTTTTGGAACAAAGATCAAGCTATTTCAATGAAACTATGGAGTTATTCTTCTATATAATTTTACTAGTGTATAAATCGGATCATGGGGAATCGGTGGACTATAAATACATATATATAGCTGCTATAGGAACGATAGGAAAATTTTAAGAAAATAAATAACTATGATCAGCAATTAACTATGGGCAGTAAGTATCAATGAACATTAAGTAACTATGGGTAGTAAGTAACTCTGATCAGTAATTATCTATGACTAGTAAGTAACTATGATCAATAAGTATCTATGACTAGTAAGTATGTATGATCAGTTACTAACTTTGAACACTAGTAAACAATGACTTGCAACTTTTGTAACACAACACATATCTGAGACGTGGCCGGCAGCAGGCACTTCGTTCCGGGGAGGTGAGAACCAGTTGGGAATCATATGCACAGATGTGCGAGATTTGTTTTGGAACAAACATCAAGCTATTCGACTGAAACTATGGAATTATTCTTCTATATAATTTTACTAGTATATAAATCGGATCATGGGGAATCGGTGGACTATAAATACATATATATAGCTGCTATAGGAACGATAGGAAAATTTTAAGAAAATAAATAACTATGATCAGCAATTAACTATGGGCAGTAAGTATCAATGAACATTAAGTAACTATGGGTAGTAAGTAACTCTGATCAGTAATTATCTATGACTAGTAAGTAACTATGATCAATAAGTATCTATGACTAGTAAGTATGTATGATCAGTTACTAACTTTGAACACTAGTAAACAATGACTTGCAACTTTTGTAACACAACACATATCTGAGACGTGGCCGGCAGCAGGCACTTCGTTCCGGGGAGGTGAGAACCAGTTGGGAATCATATGCACAGATGTGCGAGATTTGTTTTGGAACAAACATCAAGCTATTCGACTGAAACTATGGAATTATTCTTCTATATAATTTTACTAGTATATAAATCGGATCATGGGGAATCGGTGGACTATAAATACATATATATAGCTGCTATAGGAACGATAGGAACATTTTCAGATAATAAATAACTATGATCAGCAATTAACTATGGGCAGTAGGTATCTATGACGAGTAAGTATCAATGAACATTAAGTAACTATGAGCAGTAAGTAACTCTGATCAGTAAATATATATGACTAGTAATTAACTAAGATCACTAAGTATCTATAACCAGTAAGTAAGTATGATCAGTAACTAACTTTGAACACTAGTAAACAATGACTTGCAACTTTTTTAACACAACACATATCTGAGACGTAGCCGGCAGAAGACACTTCGTTCCGGGGAGGTGAGAACCAGTTGGGAATCATATGCACAGATGTGCGAGATTTGTTTTGGAACAAACATCAAGCTATTCGACTGAAACTATGGAATTATTCTTCTATATAATTTTACGAGTATATAAGTCGGACCATGGCGAATCGGTGGACTATATATATACATATATATAGCTGCCAAAGGATCGATAGGAAAATTTTAAGAAAAAAATATAGTTCCAGTTTTCAAAAGATTTTCGTCAAACTTGATATACATCCAATTTATATTAGGCTAGAATTTTGTGTAAAATTTGATGAAACTACTATTAATTTAATGGCCCTAATTTACCACCAAAACGTTCCAAATTATCATCTCAAAGTCACATTTCTTCTGGAGTTTTCACATTTCCAACCTTATTAATTTATCAAAAGAATACCTATCACAAGTCTAATAAAACCCACAAATACTTTTGATTTTTAACCCATTTAAAATCCTTTTTTTAGGATGAATCCCTGCCACACACTCACCTGGGTGAAGGGCAGCTGCTCGGAGTTGGCTCCACATTTGCAGACACTCTGCTCGATCACTCGCATGGCGAAGCGTCGATGGGCAATGCAGGCCGAGGACTCGCAGGAGTCACCGTCATCCGGCGAGATGTGCGAATGGACGCGATGGAGGAGCAGCTCGAAGCATTCGGCGGCATCGCCCAGGCAGCCCAAGGGAAAGCGGCGTCCCGCCAAGGGACCACTGGCCAGAGCACGACGCAGTGGCTCCGGGCAAAGAGCCGGCTCTGAGCTGGTCTGCAGCTGCTGGAAGAGTTCCTGTTTCGGGGAAGGAAAATCAATATTCGGGATTAATTTGGGTTTAGTTAGGAGCAGTTGGGATCAGTTCAAGTCAATAAGTTTGAGTAAAAATCAGTGAAGATCCTCTAGGAACAGTTGGGATGTATTTTAGTTTTAGTTTATCAAGAAAATGAAATCTTTAGATTTGGGTTTTTAAACTTTCTTTCCTAAAACGTTTATCTTGGCTTTAAATTATTTGACTTTCTTTATAGCTTAAATAACCTTTTCTAAATCCTTTATAGTAGCATACTAATAAATACCTAATAATATTAAATACTTAATATATTTTACGGTTGCTATCCCTCCTAACCCTACCTTAGCTTTTACCTTTAAGACTAATTGTTGATAAGTAAATAAATATTTTGAACTTTTGAACTTAATAATATTTAGTACATGATAATACTTACTTAATATTTAAAATGTTGTAATTATAAATAAATGTACTAAAAGAAAACCCTAATTGTTAGCTTAAGATAAATAAATAAAGTTGAGGTATAAAGCTTCTTAACTTAATGATATTTAGTACATAATATTTACTTACTTAATATTGAATAAATTATAATACTTCTTAAATAAATGCACTACAAACGAAAACCCTACAAAATATTCCTACTCATTTTCCACTAACTCCAAGGTTTACCCAGGATATATATTCATGCTAATAAATTACTTAACTCTTTAGCTAAATTACTAATATATTTGTTTTATTAATGTTTCCTTTAGTTTTCCTTGATTTTCAACTTATTTTCCTTAATATTCCTTCTTGTAAATTTTTAATATATATCCCATTTAACCCATAATTTTCCCTTCGTATCCCCTATATATATTTCCAAGACTTACAATAACCGCATTGATGCAACGATCTCGCTCAGCATTTCCATTGGTATTGGCCAGGTTGTTGATGCTGCCATTGTTATAGCCCAAAACAGCCAACTCCAAACTGCTGGATACCTTGGCCAGATGGCTCACCGACTTTGGCTTGGACTGCTGCCTGGTCAGAGTGGCAGATTTCTCACCCAATCCTCCGTCCGGCATCATTAGCTTCCTGGGACTGCTGCGGGGCAGAGTACCACCTCCATTTCCATTGGTGGCCATCATCAGGTGACCCAGTTGGGGATGATGCAGGGGACTGCAGCCGGGTATGGGTATGGCCTTGGGTGAGGCAGCTGCAGCGGCAGGTGGAGAGGCGGGCATGGATGTGGCAGGAGACTCTGATCCTGGAGGTCCTCGTCCTCCTCCTCCTCCTGCTCCTCCACTAGTGCTGGTGGTGCTGATGGGTGACACCACATTGGTGGGCTCCTTCCGCTTGTACCTGAACTTGATCATCTTTGCTGGCGTCTTCTCTCTGTGGAATCCTTTTCTCTCCTGGGGGAATCCTTTTAATAGCTTTTATCGTCGCCCTTCATGGCTCTGTGGAAGTTTGTTTTCAAATTAAAATAAAATTCTCTCGAGTTGCAAGCACTTCTTTGTTTTTTTGGCCAGAAAAGAAGGTGGCAAATCGATTATTGCCCCAGTCAGCACAACAAAACCAACAGAACCAAGACAAAAAAAAAACCCAAAAAGGCGAAGAAATTAGCAGCGGAAGTGCCAACAAAACGACGGCGTCAGCCCCCAAAAAGTACACAAAAAAGGTTAAAAAACGAAAAACAACCAAGTAAAACTGCAACCCCCAGCAATTAAAGAGGAAGTTGCCAGGTTTACACAGAGAGAAATAAACAGTGATTGGTCTGGGAAACATATGTAAAAAATATGAGAGAATACTAAAGATCAGCAAGGATTTTACAAGAGAAAAGAAATAAAATCATAAAAATTGGTTTCCTTTGGAACTAGAAAATTGATCATAACTAAGTCAAAAACGCATTAATTTCAATTCGGAAAGCGTGTTTATGTTTATTTTTAGCAAGTTAATAAAACTGCCTAATATTTATAAGCACGAAAATGACTCCTTCACTTAGTTTTAAACTCTTGACCGAAGATGAAATACCATTTTTTTTTATCGATATTACCTATATTTGTTTTTTATGAAATTTTTCGACAAATCAAATTTTAAAAATCTCATAACTAAGCCAAAAACGCATTAATTTCAATTCGGAAAGCGGCAGTATGATATTTTTTAACAGGTTTATAAAACTGCATACTCCATTTAAAAAGTGAATTTTTTGCCGATTTTTCCAAATTTTCATGATGCAACCCCTTTCCTTTTCTTAAAAAAAATGGGAAATTTTGGAAAAATTTTTGTTTTTTGCCGGAGATGGCCAGAAAGGTTCGTCTGGTAATGCTGATCAAGAATATATATGATTTATAGGGTCGGAAATGATTCCTTAACTCTTTTACAAGGTTCTACCGCACTCTAAATTCTCTAAAATCAATATAATATATGTATACTAATAATATATTAAATATACGATAAATACTGAGCTTCTTTCCTACCCCATCTCATTTGTTAATATTTTAATTAACCCTCTTTTTCTGGCAGTGCCTTAGCCTGAACTCGGACTTCTGGCGGGCACGCGTATCACTAACAGCTGCGACAGGTTTTTAGTTTATTTTATCAGCAGCGACACTTGGCTTTGTGCATCATGGTCTGGCTCTGTCTCTGGGCTCTGTCTCTGGGCTCTGGGCACTGGACACACCCAGAGTTAACGACTGGACTTGACTTTCGCTTTTGGCCGACCGATCTCGACCTCAATTGCGGCCAATCGAAAGTTTTGCCGTTGAAGAAACCGGTCCACCAGGCCAGAAGTTCTCCTCGATCCGCCTTAAGAAATATGAACTCCAAACTCAAATTGTGGCAATTCAGCGGGTTTTCAATTCTCTGTTTCTGTGTTTCTGTTTTCAAACTGCGAACAAGCAAACTGCATGTGCAGTTGTGCAGTTGAACCTAATATTGCCCGACAACCGCTGACGCCTTGAAAATGAAGTGCCACACGATTGGCAACCCGATCCCAATATATATCCATATCTCCATATATCATTATAGACACATATCCATTTAGCCACATTTAGCCAGTTCCCAGTTCCCCCAGCCCAAGCCCAAGTTAATGGTTTTGCCAGCGAGGAAAAGATCCAGAAAACGTCACGAAATGACGCCATATGTCGCATATGGCTGAGATCTGTAAACGCCTTTTGTACTTTTGTTCATTTCTCTTTGTATAATTCTTTATATTGCTTTATAATTCTATATATTAACTGTTCTCTGTTTTCTGTAGTCCGTATTTTGCATCTTGGCCAATTACAATGGCTCTTGGCTTAAAGCCATCGACAGCAGTGACACGAACATTTGTCTTGGCTTTTAATATATAATAATATGCAAAAATACACGGGGAAAAATTCACTATTTATATATGATAAGTAAACTAGTACATCCTATTATAATTATTAATTAGTTATGATTTAATAAATGTTGTCTAATTAAACTTCAATATCAACTACTTCTAAAAACTTCAAAGGAAAAGATGCAATTTTTTAGGGCATACAAACATATTCAATTTATTAAATATCTCATGTTTAGTATACTGCTTTTAAATATAATATAATATATACAAATATATTTTAAGTATATATTTATTATCCTATAAACTTTAATGTTTCATTATAAATATATTTAAAACTCATTATATTTTCCCGTTCTGAATTGAAGAAGCTATCTTTAAAGGTAATCCCGCTTTTCTTATATATTTTCTTGTATATTGTTTATTGTATTTCTCATTTTCCTGTTTCTTTTCATACATATTTTAAAGCTTTTAACTGAACAAATGAAAATAAACAAACAAATTGGGAATTGGGAACAATTAACACTTGTCAACTGTTTCGAATTTTTCGAGGGAACAGAGAAAGGTTCAAGTAAGAGGGAAAGGGTTCCCCGTTTCCAAATTGAGAGTTTCTTGGAAAATAAACAACACAAAACCTTGAATATTAAGTGTTATATACTTTAAGTAAATTTAATAAGAAGTAAGTTACTCAAAATAAACAAAACAAAGCTAATAAAGTTAAGAAATTATAAAGTTTTGATTTGATATAAATAAACTGTGATTTAATATTTGAAAACAAGATCAGAGAGTCTCAAATAAATTTTTAAAAATATACAAAGGAACTCAACTTTTTAGCGTTTTATTTATTACTTTTATTTTATCACAAAACACACACTAAACACAACGAAAAATAAAATACCCATAAAAAAGCGACACACAAAGTTCTACCTAAAACCAAGTGCACTATTTGTATTTATTTTTATATATGTATATTTTTTTGTGTGACATTTCTGGATTTCTGGACTTTATGGCCAGCGGAAAATGCTAGGTGCGCCGCCTTCTGAACATAAAAAAAATGTTTAATAAGCGGAAAAGCCGACACAACTTTGTTGTTGGCGAGCGGAAGTTGGTCAGCAAGCAGGTGGGGGAGGGGGGGAATGGGGAAATGGAAAGGGAGGAAAAACAGAGTGATTTCCTAATTGTTTTTCCCCAGCCTGCACTTGCTTATTTTTTTAACATATTTAATTGTCCATTCAATGGACAAAACAGTTGCATGCTAATTAGTTTTGGTTACAGAGACCGAGAGTCACGCTCTTTAATTACCAATTTTGGGAGCACAAAAGGGAGCTGGGATCTGGTCAGTTGGCGAATCATTTAGGCCATGCAATTAGCCAGGCAATTGGCCAATAATTTTGGCCAAATGAAAAGAAAACAGATACAGATCGTTAAGTTGCGTAGTTAAAGCCACAAATGATGAGGATTTTTTGTGGAAATTCAAGCAGCTTTAACTTGGATTCTTTGTATTAAAATTATAAATATTATACATAATATTAATAGTGACAAATCTTGCCAGTTTTGTGGTTCATGTTTTCGAGTTTTGGCTTTTTTTTTGATTTGCCAGACTCGGGGAACTGGCAGTCCTTGAGACCGCCACTATTTATAGATCTTTGCACACCTCAAAAGCCAAGAGAGATAGATACAGATACAGATACAGATACAGCTTCAAAGCTTGAGATACAGCTCGTGTGAGGCTGCTTAGCTCCGGCTCTCAAAATGCAAAACAAGTTAACAAACTGGCCTGCAGCCACATAAATGTTTTCATTTATTATTATTAATGCTACCAGCTTTTGTCTCTTGTTGTTTTTTCATATTATATTTTCTTTTTTTTTAGCTGCTTTTGTACATATACTTTTTTCCATGATTTACGGCTCTTAATTGTTAACAGAATTTTATGGGCAACGCTTCCGCAATTACAGTCGACAGACAAAAGCCAAAAGAACTGACCTTTTTCTCAGCCAAAGTGCAAGTACTGCCAAGTAAGAAGTACTACCTGAAGATGCCAGATTTTGCAGCAGATTTTTCTTTAGATTGCAAGACACAAAAACAAAAAAAGCAGTATACAAAAATAAAATGTAAAAACTGCACGGCAGGTAAGAATGTGGGAACAACACACGTGCAACCTGCAACCTGCAACCTGCCACACACAAAAGATGCCTCCAGGGAAGAGAGAGAGAAAGAGGCATCCAGCGGCGTTGTAAGTTAGATAAATGAGACAGGCTTAGACACTGCTCGAAAAATATGGTATCTTCCTTATATTTTGTATATATTTTATGTTGTATTTCCAAGAAGAAACAGCTTGGCTTTCACTAAACTAATTAAATATGCATTCTCTAAAGTCAGATTTTTTGATAGAGAAAGCAGTCTCTATAAAGTTTGAATAAATATTTATGTTTACTCTTAAACTTTATAAAATAATTGCCATATATAACATATCTTTAATAAGTAAACCCCTCCAAAAAAGGAAGCTCAAGTCACGTTTTGTTTACCAAAAACTTAAACAAAGAACTAACTAATCGCCAGGCAGACGTGCCTTTAAAATGAATATTTGTGGCACTAAACTTAGCTGAAAGTTATGTCAGCATAATGAGCTATCATTATAGCTTATTACCATTTTGTATTCCGCGATATATTTCTCAGTGTAAACCTGCCACGGCGCACGTGAGTCGAGTGCCAAGCAAAAGGCTGATCCCCAACTTGAATTTTTCTGTTAAATATTTACATATGCCAGACATGCGTTGCGTTGGACCCAGAATTAGCCATAAATATGCCGACTTGGCCAAGAAAGAACTGGCCTGGCCCTATCGATGGCTCTCTCAAGATGATCACAAGAATGGTAATGATGATGATGGTGGTGGGGTTGAGGTGACAAACTCAAAAGGGGGAGCGGCAACAAAACTCTCCTTGCATTTCAATTAAAGGAGTGTCTTCCCATGCAAATTGAAAGAACCAAGAAACCCAAGCATTACTCTTCCAGGGGAGCCAAGAAATTGCACTTAAATGCTAGAAGACATCGCGTGATTCCAATGGACTTTCCCTAGGGAAATACAAGTGGCTTCTGCTGCGTGCCTTGCTCAGATTAATCTTTAATAAGCCGCATAAATGCATTGGCATTAAGCAGTCTCAGTCTCCGTCATAGCGAGTGCCTACTGTGTGACCTGCCTGGCTACAGGTTTCTGTCCCTGGCATTTACATACCCAAAGAGATCTCTTCAGACAAAAGGCCAGCATAAACAGCGAAACAAGTTAACAAGACCCGCATGGTCAGCAAGATCCGAAGATGAATATATCTAAATTATAGAATCAATAAGCTTCGAAAAGAAAACACATAAACTGGTAGCTTTGTTGAGCTGCTTTAAGCCTCCCGAAATACTGGCCAAAAAAGACACTTAACTCCAATTCTCAACTTACGCCAACAAAGATATATATTCCACATGCGCAGAGATCGGGGTTTGATAAATCCAATTCAATGGTTATTTTCTGTATTTTTTTAGACAACTTTTTGCACTTTTTTTGTTGCCAGTCAAACAAGTCTGTTTGTGGTTTGTAAACTTTTTGCAAGGCACTTGGAAAAAAATTATATATGTATATATATATATATAGTACTGGGATCAGCGTTCTTTATTTGCCGCGCGCGGGAAGAATCTCTTTCTATCTCTCTTTCTCACAGAAGCTGCGATTGCAGATTTTCTTAGAAGAAAACGGGAAAGGGAAGAAACGACTGCGAAGAAACACGTCTGCACTGTATAGGTTTTGGCTCGCAACTGAAACTCGTTTTGGCCAGAGACCCAAGCCCACAGCTCTTTCCAGAGAGTGAGAGAGAGAGGGGGAGAGAGAGAGAGAGAGAGAGATAGAGAGAGACTGAGACTGGAACTGAGAAACTCGGAGAAACTCGGAGAGAAACTGGTTTCCAGGGGAACGAATGAACGAGAGACTCAGGTTCTGGGCTTCGGTTTCGTCTTCGTCTTCGGTTTCGGGTTATATCAACAAAACAGCAGCAAAACTGGCAGCAGCAGGGGAAACACTCAACTCACCTGAGCAAACCCAAAAAACCAGACCGAAATATCCAAATGCAAACCCAAACGGGGGAGTATATCTTGTACCTTGTTGTGGGCCAGAAAACAGGTAAACGTCTTGGACGAGCAGGTAAGCAGGAGTCTCTCTCTCTCTCTCTGGATTCTCTGTCGTGATTTTTAAACTCTAAGCACCCTGTTTCAAAGGAAATCATCATCTTAATCCAACAAAAATAATAATACTCTTAGATAAATGGAGTCTTTGGGGACTCTAGGTCTCTTTAGCTTCATTTTATGAGTCAGTCTGCTTGATCAACCTAAGAAAGAAATCCAAAAAACCCAGCAATTCCAGCGAAAATCATAAGAAATTGAAACTTCAATAAAAACACAGGGAAAAATTGGGGTATCAGAAAAATAAAGAAAGAGGTCTCTGTATAAGTTAATTTACTAGTAACTAGTAAATAATAACCAGTAAATAATAACTAGTGAATAATAACTAGTAAATAATAACTAGTAAATAATAACTAGTAAATAATAACTAGTAAATAATAACTAGTAAATAAAAACTAGTAAATAATAACCAGTAAATAATAACTAGTAAATAAAAACTAGTAAATAATAACCAGTAAATAATAACTAGTAAATAATATTTACCAGTTCCTATTACTTACTATTCCCTTTTAAGATTAAAAAACAAAACTCCTTAAAATATGTTAGCTTCTAATCACTAATTACAATTTCCTAATTAATAGTTCTGTTTCCTTTTTACACTTTACAATAAAAGTATAAAATTTCTAAATAATCTACCTATCCCCACAAAAATCTCTCCCATTTCTACTCTAATTTAAAGATAATAAAATCAAGCATCTCTAGATACAGATACAGTTGCTTCACCCACAAAACACACAAAAATAAAACCCAAGAAACCCCATAAAATAACCCCAAAAAACCCCCAGAAAAACAAAATGAAAGACAAATTTTTGGGTTTATCTGTGTTGCGGGTGAGTGAAAAGAAAATGAAATGAAATGGTAAATGCAAGACACGTTCCAGTTCGGTTTATCGGCTCATAAAGATGCTGCACCACAATCTTCTTTTTTGATCCCCAACTCTGCTCAGCTCTTCGTCTCCCTGATCTTCTCTTCTCCGAATTAAGAAGAATGCCGCCTTGTCTTTCTTCGCTGGGTTTCTTCTCGGGTTTTTTCTTCTTTTTATATATGCTTTTTTATGCTCGACACCCGCCACAATTTCCATGACTCAAGACTGGAGGAGAGGGTTAAATGGAGATGACTCATGCCAATTGATTGATTGCTTGATGGGTCTTAAATCAATTGAACACAGAGATGCACAGCAGTGAAAGGTCTTAATATTTGCACAAGAATCAAATCGGGAATCGATCATATCGCAAAATATTTGCAAGTAAAAAATTACAGATTTTTTCTATTTTTCAAAGTTTTAAAAACTCATAACTAAGCCAAAAATGCATTAATTTCAATTCGGAAAGCGGCAGTATGCTAATTTTTAGCAGGTTAATAAAACTGCATACTCCATTTAAAAAGTGAATTTTTGCCCGATTTTTGCAAAATTTTCATTTCCTTTCCTTTTTTCAAAAAATGGAAAATTTCTGAACAAATTTTTTTTCTACCAGAAATGACTAAAAAGATTCGCCTGTTGATGCTGATAAAGAATATATACGATTTATAGGGTCGAAAATGAGTTCTTCACAGATTTTTAATCTGCTGACTGATAATATAATACCCTGTAAAGGTATAAAAACCTATACAACTTCAAACTGTAAAACCTCCATTTGATATATCTTCTTTGTGTAGTCAGAACACTGATCAATCAACCTTTAAAGCTTGAGACTATGGAAATTGGATACTAAACACAAAGGCCAAGTCACTCTTTGATGGATGAACCCGGCGAGTTCTTTTTCTCTAAAATGTCAACTGAAAAATTAACCAACAAAATATGAAATAAAGAAAAAGAAATATAGGTAGAGAAACAAATCAAGAAAGTGATTAACAAAACTATTCAATAATTAATGGGTGCTGCATTTCATTTTTACAAAATATAAGAAATAAAATAAAAAGCTCAAAAACTCAGCAGAAAAAACCTTCAAGTCGCACGTCGAGTGTCGCATAAATTCAAGAGATAAACAACTATAAAAACTTGACAAAATTAAAGCCCCAGCCATGGATGGGAGTAACTGGGTTTTTTTTTCCCATTTTAACTTGGCCAAAAAGCAGAGTGAATCATGCTAAAAAAAAGAAATGAAAAATACTGCTCTGATGGAGATCTCTTGGGGACTTTATAGTTACGCCAAGGAGCTGCCTGGTTCCCATTAGCACCTGTAACGCCTTCACGCTCGTGCCCAGCCCATATCGTGTCTATATATATATATGTTTATATACTGAATATATCTCTATATGTACCTACTATGCAATCCTACCTCTGTTCATGTTAATTTCATTTTTATTTTATGGGCCCTGCGCTGGACAAACAAAGAGACCCCGAAAAGAAACCCTTGAGGACTATGCACTCGAACAATTTGTTTGTTTGCATTTACTTAGATCCATTTGAGATTAGGGCCTGAAAAAAATCTGGAGTATCTGGAGATAGTCTGGAGATACTCTCGAAAAGCAAACAGAGCTTAAAACTTGGAGTTCTGATAGGATAGTGCAGAGAGAGAAAAATCCTAGTCTTTGAGATGAAGAACATTCAATGAAATCTTTGAGAAATAAAAGATATTATGTGGTTTCATAATATAATCATAATTGGTATTGAAAATATATATAAATTTAGTGTCCTAATACCATATCATAATAAAGAAAAACTTCGAATAAAAATATTATATAAAATAATATATATGAAAATTTATAGGAAAATGCTACAGGACATTGTTTATATCTTCAGTTTGTTTATTAACTTATTTATTTATTTATTTGTATTATTTTTAAGCCTAATTATTGCCTTAAACATATTCTATAAAACCCATCCCATAAGCAGTAAACAAACCATTTAAAAACAATAAAATAAAATATATATAGACAAAAGTCTAGCCCTTGGAAATTTCCTTTTATTACCAATTCTGTGTGCGCTGATCTCGTCCTTAAAATGCGGTCTAGACCTTGTGAATGAGGCTTTTCCGCGTAGAGAGAGAGAGTGGACCATTGTCTTAATGACTTTGTCCTTGTCACTAATCACATTTTCCCCTGCCACCGGGGTTTTATTTTATTTTATTTTTCGTATTTATTTTCTGTAGCGGATGAGAGTGATTTTTCGTGAAAAACGTTCCCTAATGGGAATTGTGCATTGAGGCATAACCGAGGGCGGGCTCCGTCGGAGACGATTCTTCTTGGCCGAGAAGGAGAAGGTAAGGTGTCTCAGTTGGCCCATTCTTAACCCTCCAGTGGCCACAAAGCGTGGGGAAGGCCTGAACGCCTGGTCAAAATGCGATCGCAATCGTGGGAGTTTCCCAGCCCAAAAAGGCCAATGTCTTCGACGATTTTCATAATTAAATAGGCGACGTCTTCCCGCGGGAAATGAATGGTGGGTTCAGGCATGGTGGAGGGTTATACAAGTTGCAGGTTGTAAGAAAAATTAATTTAGAACTCAAGGTGGAGAAGGCCGGCATAATTAATGCAAAAAAAAAAAAGAGGAAAAACATACAAGACAAAGGCAACCCTACCATGGTTGCCATGGATTCCCTCTTCTTCCCAACAAACTCGTCTTCAAGGTGTACACCAGTCAAAACAAAAACAAACCCAACACTTTCCACGGCGACGACGTCATCAATGTTTGAAGAGTTCTCAAAAGAGTGAGAGGCAAGAGCTCATCGAGAGAGAGAGAGAGACAGTGAGAACGCGCATTGTGTGTGGCAGTGAACACCCTGTTTCGAAAAGTACAGTCCCGCTTAGAGGCTTTTGTCTCTTTTCTTTTCTTTTTCTTGCCGTTGCTCAGAGTTTTTCCGGAACGTCACGAGTTTGTCGCTTGCCCGCGGCCTAACACGAAGCCAGAAGAAGATATAGTCTCCTCCTCCTCCTCAATCTTTATGCTGACCATAACGAAGACCCTGCTAATGATGATGATCATGATGATGAAGATGATCATTATCCTCGGGTCTGGTTTATGAGGATCCCCCTCTGTTTGGAGAGAGAGAGAGAGAGTATGGGGGATCACTCTGCTTTTCTCTATACAGTTTTTCCTAAGTTTCATGATTTTGCATATTGGTTAAAGACCATGAGTTGATTTTTTGGGAAACTTGAACGAATTAGTTATTAATTTCTTGTTACAATTCTTGTGAGGCAATTCTTTAAAGAAATATATATTATATTTTCTAGTATATGTATAATTTAAGATATTATAAAAAATGTAATATAATATAGAATTCAATCAACAAAAAATGGTGCAACAATTTATAGAACTTAATATATAATTCAAAGCCCAAGAGATCAAGA